TCTACAGTAAGTGAGCACTGCGTTTAATAAAAAATAATGTACCTACTGCCTGCCTCATGGCCGTTTATATTTTTTGGCTCAGGCTGATTACTATTCAAAATAAATATACATCAGTTTTAATTTTTGATTCATAATGGCTGTAGCTGCACTGCTGAAAATCTATTATATGTTAGTCAATTAATTGAACATCAATTGAAATTAAACCATTAACAAGGAAGTTATTAAGTCATTGCTTCTGTCTATTGTTGAATTCATTAGTGAAAAGGAAAATGTTCTATCGAATACAAGTAGAAAATACAATACCGAAGCGAAACTTCTATTCTAGTGAAATAATGTAAGTATTTTTGGCTAGACACAGTGTTGGTCTCAATAGTTTGAATGTTTTGTGTTTGATCAAAATAGAAAAATGTTTACTCAGAAAAAGGTAAATAAATTAAATAATAAATAACACATAAAATTAGAAAACTTGTCACTAAAAATAAATATAAATGATGTAATTACAAAACTTCCCAGATACCTGTAGCGACCCGTTAATAGTGTCAACGGGACTATTTAAATTATATGATTAAAATAATTATCGGTCATTCCGGGAGACAAAGTGGTCAAAAATATTTTCCGTTGTAGGGTAATTCGTAAATAAGTAATGAATTAATTGTTTTTGATAGTTATTATTCTAAAGCGAAATATATTATATCTACTAAGAATTGATTATTTCTAGATTTAACATTTTTAATAATAAAACAAAATATGTTTTACAATTTGGGTCGAATATTAATTTCGTTTACATTTTTTAGGAACAATATTTCAAAACGGTTATTCTCTGAATCTGTAAAAAACATTAAATTTAAGAATGAAAAACATTGCGAATATGTAACTTTATGGCATGACTTATGGAACCTTATCACCTATTACACAAAATAGATTAAAACATATTTAAAATATCTTAACCCAGTTTCGCATACTCATTATTGATAAAGTTATTTAAAAAAAAATTGATTCAATAGTTTGATAATTATTCATTGCCATTTACCATAATGTTAAACAAACGTGTAATCTATATAAACAATTTATATTATACGAACAGATGTACATGTTTAAATGTTACTAGTGACATTTTATTTTTCACATTTTTTGTTATTTCTAATTATTAATTTACAAATTGTAAATCTGCAGAAGGCATTAGCTAGATTCAAAAAAAAGCTAGAAATCCATTATTACCTGAATTTACTGTTACTGTACACGTGACGATGATTATATAGTGTTGGTAAGTAATAAAACTTGTCTATTATAAGAGAAAAAGGTATTTTACTTCAAGCAGATTAAAACATTAATAATAATACTATAATATAATAGTATAAAATACAACGATCATGTATTAATAAACATTATATGAGAGTTACATACACTATTTTTTCTACGACCAAAAACAGTACTTCCATTTACAATATAGTTGTATTCTTTTAATTTTTATATTAGTTTTCATCGTGCAAAAATGTTTTGTATTTTTTCGCTATGGCACTCGAACTTTCTTTTTAAATAATCTTGCAAGTTTCCGTATTTATTTACATCAGTTAGGTATTTGTTTAATATTGAGTTGTGTTTTTTAAATAACTATCAGCACATTTTCAAAAAAGGATGATACTTCCTAGCTTTCAATTCATAAATTGACTATAAATTTTGATGTACTGTTTTTAGTTTTACCAGTATTAAACTACCTATCAAATATACAGGGTGTTTTTTAAACATGCGGCAAAAATTCAAGGGGTTGTACTATTCTAAGAATATTTTGTCCTTTGATGATTTTTGAAAATCCGTTTTGTCAAGTGGAAAAAATAGCCGTTTTTAGTAATTGAAATGTTGTTAAAAAATAATAAAAATAACGAATTTTTAAAAAAGTTGTATGTTCTTGGTTAACACAGTCACAATTTTAAAAATAATAAAAATAGTTTTCTCGAAAATGTTGTGCGCCCTGTATCTCCTAAACGAAACGGAATTTTAAAAATCATCAAAGAACAAAAGATTCTTAGAATAGTCCAAGAAACAACTCCTTAAATTTTTGTCGCATGTTTAATGGATCAAACGACTTACCTGAAGGAAGTTCGATCCTAATTATGCGAGCATCCTTGTTAGTGGAAATAAGATAACCATGTAGTATACCTATGTTACGTCGCTGACCCGCATGTTTAGATTTAAAATTTATTCTATCGCTGCCTGCCTAAATTACTCATTACCTATTGTGGAGCCTAGGAGTTTAGAGTTAAAAATAATATAAAAATGGTGGAGGTGGGACTTTATTTCCACTAACAAGGATGCTCGCATAATTAGGATCGAACTTCACATCCTTGTTAGTGGAAATAAAGATAACCATGTAGTTGTTTAGAGGATGTTCTATTCAAAATAAAACTAGATTTTTGCTTTCTACGTAAATGTATATAATAGAATATGCAAAAAATATTACTATAAATTTCCCACAAAATTAACAATAATAATAATACTAATGAATTAATCATTAACCAACGTAACAAAAAATAATATTGAATTTTAACAATCCAGTTTTATAATTTTTTAATACTTTTGCGAACGTTGGTTTTACGTCTTAATTGTAAAACTTTTTAAACACTACTGATCTCTTTGTCCTACAATTTTCTAATGGTTTCGATATTCACGCAGATTATGAGAACGTTCGAGGTATGTGTACTAAGTGCTTGGGCTACCCACCCAATAGTTTAGGGAGATACTGGCTGGACTGGAGCGTTAGTGGTTAGAATAAAAGGTCCTGAAGACCTGTGAGACTTTGTTTTTTTTTTATCTTTTTCCCCATAAAATAAAATTTGTTTTTGCCGAGCATAAATTGAGGTAATTCATGGGAGGAATGAAAATACTAATAAAGGCTGGGCTCGTTATGGAGTCGAAGTTTTAGCATTTCGTCAATGAAAATTTGTATATTGTTAGCTTCCACCTTGATATTTTCAATTTAAATTTTTGAGAAGGTCTATACCCGTTGGGCTGCAAGTATAACAAGTTTGGCTCTTAACTGTTTTAAGTTTTTCAAGTGAAAGAAACTACTGAAGTATTTTAAAACTGTGTTTTGGTCAAGTTTGAATACATTTTGGCAAGACAGGATGATCTTTTTAGAAATTTCCTAATATACATTTTCTTTTATTATTCAGGATTTCTATAATGAAAGTTAGGGACTATTTATAATGAGAGCTAGGGCAGAACTTTGGTTATAAGAAAGTCTAAATGAAGATTTGCTGCAGTGAATAACTAGGTTTAATGTTGACATGTACCGTAAAAAGCATTTATTTATTTTTTTTGTAACATGGGATGGTTGAGTTTCCCATTCTGGTACAATCACTATGCCTTCTGCTTGGTCTTTCTTATTTTAGTACTTATACAAGATAAAAACTTTTTTTTATTTATGATGAGTGATAGAGATTGTAAAGAATCAACCGTTGTATTAGGTACAATGTTTTAAACATTCATCACTAGATTTAGATGTAATTAGGAAATTATTAAGTGTTTGCAGAAACATATGGAGCAAAAGGTCAAACCAAATGTAAGACACTCAAATTCGAATGTTATTTTCTTTTTTTTTTTTTTTTCAAATACTTTCCTTATTTTTTATGTATTAAGATGAGATAAGAGGCATCCTTTAATTTAATTTTTGACAAGATTGTCCTGTAACAAAATATTTTGGGCAGACCTGAGATCTTCCAGTTTGAAATGCGAGAATCTATATATTTGGTAAAGATGAATCTAGATAAATCATTTCATTTGGGTCTTAAAAAATATGAGAACCAAAATAATTTTCTTTAGCAAGCAAACAAATATTGCATTCTATAGTACTTTTTTTTACGAAGTGTGTAGGTTAGTTTTTTCTCTAAAAGGAAACATCCTTTGGTGGAAGTTTTTTGGTGTTTTAAAGAATAATTTAAAACCTTTTAAATTTATTCAGTCTACCAGCAATCTCTCTTACCTTTATTTCCTTCCCTAATAACTCCTTCTCTCCTCTCTGTTTTTCTGAATACTTGTTGGTTCTTCCTTTGGGGTTTTTTTTATTTTTCCTGCTCTTTATCTGGCCTGGTTTTCTTCAGTCGCTATTAAAAGGTAGGCACCTGAAGTTTAAAGACTGATTGAAATTATTGTTTGCTTTTAGTTGGTGCCTTTAAATTAAATGTATGCTAGTTTTTTCAAATGCTTTGTCTGACTTCCATATCTCTACAAGATTCTTTCCAAAATGAAAAACCATCGATATCTGCTTTTTCTATCATATTTTTCACATTTGTGTTTAAAGACCGATACATAAGGTGCCTACGATGCATATATTCTATGGTAGATGTCTGATAATACTTTTGTTACATTTGCATTTGTTTTGATGCGTCTATTTCTGTTCCATCCAAGCCTAGCTTACAGAGGTTCAGCTAAACTTCCCATCACCTTTCAAGTTGGTCTTGCAGCATATATAAATAGCTGTAGGTTTTATGTGATGACGTGACTAGTCACTAAACTTTTTGGTTCGGAGTTTAAGTGAAAGTATTCCAGATTTTGATTTCGCAAAGAAACTTTCATATTTTGCCATTCTCCAAATCGTCTTGCAAATATTTTCTCAACTTTTTACCTTTTCTTCGTTGATTGGTTTTCCGAGAGAAATGTTGCTATTAGGATCCGCACCCAGAATATGCTGATACTGAATTTGATCCTTACTATTCGAACGTCTGTTCTGGTGAAGATGACGGGTTTAATGTATATACCTCTTAGATTCTGATTCTGAATCAACTTAAATCTATATTTATTCAATAGCTAATTCATGTGCACATAAAGGGGCATTTTTTTTAAGGTGCAGGATTTACCCGTAAAGTAATATAATCAATGAGCTTTGCGTAGCATTTTTGCGTTTTTGTATTTTATAAGCATAAGACCAGAGTTACTAAACATTTATTTGTCTATAATGCAGAATTTACATAGTACCTACATTCTGCTTCCAAAGTTTTTTGAAGTTTACAAAGTAGCATTTTTCGCATTGCGGTTAGCCGGGCTAGCATCTTATAAGTATAAGATCAGATTTAACGCATAAAGCAACCTCCCTTGTGCATTTATTTGTTTATAATGCAGAATTTTCATATAAAATATTATCTTTTGTGGCCAAAGTTTTGCGAAATTCACACATTAAGTAGAATTATTCGCGGTGCGATTAGCTGAGCTAAGTATAAGATCAGAGTTAATACATAAAGTAGCCTTCTCTATACATTTATTTTGCAATAATATGCTGAATATACACATTAAAATTTCCACATTAAGTAGCATTTTCCGCGGTGCAGTTAGCCGAGTTTG